CAGGTTCTCCAGCATCTGCAGTTCCCACTATATCTGATTTGGAGTTTGCTGTACGGTGTAAATTAATGCTTTACTTTTCCTGCTTAGGCTCTTGCAGATCACTTTGAAGACAAGACCACACCTGTAGTGGAACGTTTAAAGATCTTCTACTGTTGTCAAGTGCCTCCACACTATGCTGTCCAGGTATGTGTGTGAATCTTTAACGTCCTTTTCATCTCTAAAGAGCATAATGGGACTAGTTTAGCGTCTTATGCAAGTAGTGCTGTCTCGGTATGGCGCAAGATGACAATCTAATTTTTGTGTTAGAACCTTGTGGATTCTGAGACTTTGACACATTCTGACTCAGACTTGAGAACATGACCACTAAGCCAAGTGGAAACCTGAAATGTGTTTTTTCCAGGTTTCTGTTTGATTTTTCAGTTTTACATGCAGTGTAAGTTTTTGTCACCCGGTCTCAGAGTGCACTGAATTTGGCAACAAAATTAGCATCCAAATTCACTTAGACTTTGAGAAATTTCTTCTTCGGCAGTCATCGTTTAAAGCTCCCTTAGAGCAAATGTTCTTTGTCACATGAAGAATAAATCAGATGAATATATTGTTGGAGTTCTAAAAACTTTTATCCTTTTCTATTAGCGTCAGCTTGCGACTCTTCTGTTTGACCTGGGTTGTACTAGCTCAGCTCAACAGATCTTCGAGCAGTTAGAGATGTGGGAAGATGTTGTTATTTGCTACGAAAGAATTGGGCAACATGGAAAGGTGAGTGAGCACTCTTCTTGGACCTAACAGTTGGGCTGTGTTTCGCACAGGTTATCTTTGGATTTTTGTTTTCATGGAAATAACGACAAAAAGATAAGAACAAGTTCTTCTTTCAACCTGCTTGTTCTCAGTAATTTGAGAGTTCTAGCATTGAATTGAATACAAAATCTGCCTCTGTACAATATTAACTAAATTTTATCAGTTTGTTCTAAAAGTCTTTGAAATCTTGGGAAGAAAAGATTTATGAAAAAGGGGATGTTCTTCTGAAAGGCTTAAAAGGTGCAGTTTAAAACTGTGGCTCTTTGTTTTTAACAGTTACAGCTGCTTAGTCAGGCAGAAATTGCGGTGAAAAAACATTGTCTTCTAGCAAAGATTCTCAATTTTTATTTCTCAAAAGGAGGGTTTACAAATGACTGGTGTAATTTTGTAAAACCTATATTTGACACCCAGACATTTTCTGTTTCACATTAATTCCTTAGGTCCAAAAGCATTCTACACTCTAGAGGTTTCCTTTATTTTAATATACTCAGCTCTATAGACTTTGCAGTGTTCAAAGCCTTCAGGTGTTTCTTAACATTTTTAAACTTTGTTCTTCTTTAAGGGATGTGTGTGTCACTGACAGGGTCTGCATTTGCTATCTAACCGTCTCCTGCTGCTTCATCAGTGATCTTCCCTTCATTATAAAGTCAGAACTAGGGGTGTTCATTGATGAATGCACATGTTCAGCTCCATTCATGACTCCTCAGACACTGAAGCAGTCCATATACAAATAAAGCCTGCACAATATCCAGGTTTGGGCTGATACATGACAAGTAGCATTTGCACCACACAGAAGCCAGGCAATGACCAATTCCAACAAGAGAGAACTTAACCATCGTCTCTGGACATTCAGTTGCATTATTATCACTAAATCTCCCACTCACCATCCAATGATTACCGTTGAGCAAAAATTGAACTGGACCAACCATATAAATATTGCGGCGACAAGAGCATGTCAGAGGTTAGGAATTCTATGCCGAGTCAGTCATTTCCTGACTCCCCACTCCCACAAGTGTGAGGGAATACTTTCCATTGTTTGGATGGGTGCAGCTCCAGCAACACTCAAGCTCAGCACCATCCAGGACAATACAACACACTTGATTGGCACCATATCGACCACCTTCAGCACTCCATGTCTACACCACCAAAGGACTGTGTGAGCAGTGTGTATCATTTACAATGTGCACTACAACAGCTTACTACTGTGTCACCATGGCATCTTCTAAACTCATGACCCTAGTAGCTGATCACTGCCCCATCAGTGTTGCTGAGTCAAAGTCCTGGGTCTCAGGACGGCTCACCACCACCTTCTCAAGTGCAGTTAGAGATGGGCAATAAATAGTGTCCTATCAGCGATGCCACATCATATGAATCAATAATAAACAAAAAAATGCTCTTGCACTAAGTGACTTGCTCAGCCATTTCAGCTGACAGTTAAGAGTAAACTATATTTCTGTGAATCTGGAATCATAGACCATATTTGGAAAACAGATTTGGAAGGCTCATCTGCCCAAAGCATTAACTTAAGCCTCTGGAATACTAGTCCAGTGACATTCCCACTATGCCACCTCATCTTCTTTGTCACTAGAGTGAACCAAATTGGATGATTTGTTGATCATTTTGGAAGGGAGAACAAAAGAGCAGAGTTTTGTTTAAATGGAAAAGAACTGCAGAAAGCTGCAACACAGAGGGACTTGGAGGTACTTGTGCATGAAACACAGAAAGCTAACACAGGTGCAGCAAGTAATCAGGAAGGCTAATGGAATGTTGGCCCCTTATTTCAAGGGGGTTGGAGTATAAGAGTGAGGAAGTGTTACTGCAAGGTGCTGGTGAGCCCACATCTGCAGTACTATGGGAATCTTTGTTGCCTTATTTAAGGAAAGATATTATTTAATTGGAGGCAGTTCAGAGAAGGTTCACTAGGATGGTCCCTGGTATATAGGGATTGTCTTTTGAGCAAAGGCTAAACAGATTGGTACTCTACTCACTGGAGTTTAGAAGAATGAGAAGTGATCTCATTGAAACATATAAGATATTTAAGGGGCCTGACAGGGTAGATGTTGAGAGGATGTTTCTCCTCAGGAGAGTTTAGAACCAGAGAGCATAGAATCAGAAGTAAGGGGCACCAATCTAAGATTGAGATAAGGAAGAGTTTCTTGTCTCGGAGGATTGAGTGTCTTTGGAACTCCTTGCTGCATAGAGCTGTGGGGGCAGGGTCCTTGTTATATTTAAAGCTGAGATAAATAGATTCTTGATCAGTAGGGGAATCAAACGTTATGGGAAAAATGCAGGAAGATGGACATGAGGAATGTCAGATCAGCCATGATCCTTTTGAATGGCGAAGCAGGCTCAAGGGGCTGAACGGCTCACTCCTGTTCCTATTTCCTACAGTCTTATTTCTGTGATGCTGTGGATTGAGGAGGAAGTCTGAGATGGATCATCCAGTTCAGCACTTTTGTCTGAAGATGACAGCAAATATCTTTTGCATTGATGTTCTGGGTTCTGCATCGTCGAAGCTGGAGGTATTAGTGGAGCTTCCTCCTCCATTTAGTTGGCCATCATCAGTTACAATTTGATGTGGTGGGATCACATAGTTCTGACTATCAGCTTGCATGTAGCTTCTCCAGGTTGGCAGGAAATTTTCACTATGCTTCTGCTCAGTATTGCTTCTCCGCACGGTGCAATTCAGCGTTAAGAAAATAGTTTGAAAGTCCAAATATAATGCATTGTTTAAAAACACTGCTACTTGCTGGCTTATCTGATTATCGAGTTGGTGTTCACTATCTGAACCTCTTACTCTCACATTGGCCTGAGTTTGGTATCTCTAGAAAGGCGCACTACCATTTGTTTTAAAATTAACTCTGAGTGGCTCACAAAGCAGAAAACAGAAATGCTCCAGGTTACAGATCCCCAGTCCAGGTTGAACTAATTGAACCAGGATGTGGAGGCAGATTTGTGGTTACAACTCAGCTAAGCACCTCTGGATTAATGAAACAAAATCAGCTAGCTCCCATTCCAGTTGTATTTCAAGTGATCTTTTAGGGTATTGAATGATAGATGGATTAAGCTTCACTGATACTGCTGACTTTCCTGCTTAATACATCATCAGGATTCACAGATGAGTAATGATTATTTTGGTGAGGGGAGAAAGACTGATGACAAGAAAAATAATCTTGGTTCTTGAAAAGTATTGATGCTGATTTATGATAAAGGATTAGAAATGGAATTAATTTCTAATCTCTTTTTTTCATAGTATTTTTTCTGCTCAGCGTTTCCTTTCCATTTTTTTTTTGATTTTAAAAAAAAACTTCCCTTGTCAAAGCTACATTTTTCCAGACAATTGTATTGAAGCTTGGGGTATTAGTTTGGTAGGAGGTTGGAGGATGAGAAAAAAGCCAGTCATTTTGCACTAGCAAGGCTTACCCATGCTGAGCTGATGAGAAGAAAGTGTTGAACAGCCAGACTGACAGAAGTTGCACTATTTTTTAACCACACAAATTGAGACACTCGATTTCCACATGGCGCCGTGGTTGGTCCCCTAGCTCAGAATGAACATGTGTGTCTGATAGTATAGTACACTAGCTTTTTATTCTACTGCTTAATCACTGGATGTGGAAATTAGCTTATGATATTGATGTTGGCACTAACTCTCTGTGACCTAGTGCCAGAGTTTGAGTGATGGTATATAACTATGCCAGTCCATAAGAAGGAGCCAATTTATCTTGTTTATTGAGTATACCAGGCTTTGCTTCCCTGATGAAGCATTCTACCGAGAAGCACAGGAAAAGGGGCTCAAACAATATGTTTTCATTATTGAAGACTATTCAGAATGATCTTTGAAAACCACAGCCGCAGAATATATTTAATATTTTTAATTCCTCATTTTCCGTGCTACCTCACAAAATACAAATGTGCTTTTTTTACTGTAACTTCATGTACAAAAAAAACCTTTTGCTTGATGCTCTGCTTATCAAAAATTAATTCATCACAGCTGAGAACAAGACGTTGAACAATTATTACTGTTTGACGGTGATTGCCCAGAAGTTCACAGTATAATGGCTTCAGTAGTTCTGTGAAAAGGGAAAAAATACCTTACAGGTAAAATGCATCAAGATTCATTTCACTCAAATTGTGGGAGTAACAAGCCTATTGGTAGGTCATGATATCAGTGAAGGCTTTGGTAATGATACAAGGTAATGCTGAGGGCTACACAGCAATGATGCTCTATGAAAGAATTGAACTGAGGTCTACCACACAGTCATCATCCACGTCTATGAGTGGCCAGATGAGGGCTATTACCATGATAGTAGGGATTAGAGACTTCATTTCTGTGGACAGACGATAGAAACTAAGATTTTTCTCCTTTGGATGGGAAGGTTAAGGTGAAATTTAATAGCGCTGTTCAAAATTAGGTGCTTTGATAGTTGTACCTTTGATCATTGGAAAGTTGTAACCAGAGGTGAAATATTTGGAATAATTTGCAAACAAAAACAAGGGAGATGAGAAATGATCTTGCACAAATTATGATTTGAAATGTGCTGATTGAAAGGGCAGCGGAAGTAGATTAACTAGTAGCTTTCTAACGAATTGGACAAATACTTGAGAAGAATACTTGAAAGTTGAGATAGACTAATCTTTATGCATTGGGACAAAGGGCAGTGAGGCAAGATTTGATTGAGATGTACAAAATTGAGAGAGACCTGGAAAGTTTGGAAGGGGAAAAGCCTTCAGCAGCTACTAGCGTCAATAGATTTAAACTGATTGGCAGAAAGATTAAGGGTAAATGGGGAAGATGTTTTTCATTCAGAGGATGGTACGGGCCTTGAACTTGTCGCCAGAAATAGAGGCAGAAACCTTTGATTCATTTACGAGATGTCTCAATTGCTGTACCAGCAGGTCTGTGAAATCAATGCTGGAAATGAGATTAGACTAAGTGACTCTTTTGTTTTGGGCTGGTGCAGACATTATAAACCAAGTGGATTCTTTTGTGCTGTAAATTTTCTATGATTCTAGAAGAAAGCATTTACACGGAAATGCAGAAAGAGCTGGGGAGCGTGACTAATTAGAGAGCTTGTTGAAAGAGCCAGCACAAATACGATCAGCTGAATGTCCACCTTCAGTGTTCTATGATTCTCTTGTTTAGTGATCTCCCATACCTAGTATAACGCAAATAAGCTCCAGTACCATAAAAAACATCATAAATGAGTTCATGTTGCTGATGAAAGCAAATTTGTGAATCACAGCTCTTTGGAAAAGCACTGGGTGGAGATTGAGGACCCACGTGTACACAATAAGGACTGCAGATGCTGGAAGCCAGAATCTACAGGTGTGAGGCTGGAAAAGCACAGCCAGTCAGCATCAGAGAAGCAGGAAAGTCAGTGTTTCAGGCCGAAACTCCTTAACAAAGGAGTGTTGCTGGACTTGTTTAGGGTTTGATTGCATCTTCTTGTCATTTTTCAGGCAGAAGAGGTTCTTCGCAGGGAGCTCGAGAAGAAGGAGACACCCACTTTGTACTGCCTCTTGGGAGATGTGCTGAATGACCACCAGTACTACGACAAGGCCTGGGAGCTATCCAATTATCGCAGTGCCCGTGCTCAGCGCTCCAAAGGGCTGCTGCACCTCCGTAACCATGAGCTCAGACAATGTGTGGAATGCTTTGAGCGATCAGTGCAGATCAACTGCTTACAGGTGGGGAGACAAGTTAATTTGCAAGTTGTTCACCTTCTCTTGTTGAGCTTAATGTTTTGTGGGAAAATAAAGTGGGTTCTGAATTGTATCGAAGGGAGGTGTTTGTATTGAAACCTGCATACTTTTAATATGTCATTTCACACCTGCCAGTAATTTTCAGTCAATACTGCCATTTCCTGGTTGATTTGTGTAGTCTGTGTTTCTTCCGAGCCAATAGGTCCACTGCCTGCAATCAGTCAGACCCACTGGACATCAGTGCAATGTAAATTGTTGAGTCTGATGCTAAACACTTTGGATAATTGAGCTACACTCTAGTCCAGAAGTTACAGATGGTCGCTCATTGCCTTGTGTCAGACAGAGGGCCTCCCACACCACATGCAAGCAGCTGAAGTAGAAATTGTTAAATGTGAAAAATAAGAAAACATGTCTATTGTGCCTGGATTAGAAAGACAGGGTGTGAGGCTCATCAGTGGATCAAGCACACCAAGGAGGGAGAACATATGGTATTTGGGAGTGAAGATGTGATTGAGGCTTGGAGCTGGGATGATGGGGTATTGCATATTATTAGTATGGAACAAAATTTAACTATGAACCATTTTCAAGTCAGAACAGATTAAGATTTTATTTCACTTGCTTGGTAGAAATGGAAAATGGGATAGCTCCTGTCTGGAGCCAAACTTCACGCAGGTGGCTTTGGGGTGAGGGTTTTGTGGGTTGTGCACATAGGCTGAAATGTTATTATGTCTCTGTTAAATTTCAGCTGCCACTTTGCACTAGCCTATACTATCTTGAATTCTATCACTATCCTCTTTGCAGTTTATAAAAGTTACAGCTTTTTGTATCCTGTACACATTTTGAATTTGTGTCCATGTCTTGGTCATTTCCATTAAAGGAATGATGCTGGTAATGACCAAAGAGAACCCTGTGTGTAACTCAGTCCACTCCAAAAAACAACCATTCATCATTGCTCTCTGTTTCCTGTCACACCCCCAACTTCTCATCTCTGCTGCCACTGTCCATTTTATTTCATGGGCTTCAACATTACTGGAAAACATATTATATGGAAGTTTAACACCACATCAATGGCATTATCCTCAGCAATCATCCTTGTTATATCTGAAGTTAGTTTGTTACACCCAGTTTACCTTCAGCCATTCCATGCAAACTTTCCTTAGTTAATCCACATTTATCCGAGCGATTTAATTTAATCCCAGATTATAGTTGCTAAAAGCTTTCCTGCTACTGGAGTTGAATTGAGTGGCTGCTAGTTTCTAGGTACATCTGTTTTTGAGCAAAGAGTATAGCATTTGCCATTCTCCTCTAACACCACCTATGTATCCAAGGAGGATTGGAGGATTATGATTAGTGCCAAAGCACTTTCCTCCCTTACTTCCCTCTACATCTTCAGAGGTGTCTCGCTAACCCTGGTGATATTTAAATACTTGCTTTCCATCTATTTTCAGGCATTTCAATGCCTCAATCTTCTTTCGCTATGACTTCAGCAGTATCATCTTCACGGGGAGAGAAAGTTGTAAAGTGCTCATTTAATGCATCAGACATGACCTATGTCTCCATGCACAGGTCTGCTTTTTGCTCCCTAGTTGCCCCTATCCTCTCTCTTGCGATGCTTTTATTACCTATACACCAAGAGAGGACTTCTGGATTTCCTTTTATGTTAGTCACCAGTCTCCTGTCATACTCTTTCCTCTCCTATATCCATTTTACTTCCCTTCTGAGCTTTTTATACTCAACCAGGTTCTCATGCATATTATAAATCTGGCATCTGTCCTTCTTTCATCTTGCTCTCTATTTCTTTCATCATCCAGGAAACATTGGCTTTATTCCTCTCCCTTTCCCCTTTGTGTGATTATACCTTGGCTGTAGCCAAGCCATATCCTTAAAGAAACATAATTGTGTTACATTTTGTCTTGAGGTCATTAATTATAATTCATCTGGTCTGTTCTTACCCCACTGAAATTAACCTTATTTTAATTAAGTATTTCTACTCTAGATTATACCTTGTCTTTTTCCAAGGCCAAACTGAGCATTCTGAGATTATACTGACTGTGCCCTTACTGACCCTGGGTTCATATTATTCATTATTCCTTAGAACCTGCCCCAACCATATCTTCTTCCTTGATGGCCGAAACATACTGATCAAGAAAATTCTTTTGAATACACTTCAAAAAACCCTTCTCTCTGTTTTGCTCTTTTATCTCTTTTTTCCATCATTCAGTGACCTATCCTCATTTCTTACCATTAACTAAACCACTTTTTGCTACTAACCAAAAAATTTCTGTTCTTACCTCTCTTTGAGGAAGTCGAATAGTGTAATGTTCTGATTATGCTGTCACCCCTCTTCCTTTCTTTCCTTCCCAATCTTGCTTGAGCTTTATGTATCCAGAAATATGTAATAGCTAGTACAGAGCTAATGGGCCAAATAGCCGCTTCCTGCACTGTGACAATCCTGTAACAAATTTAGTGGTAGTAACCAGTGATGTTGTATGTTGAGTCCGGTGTCCATTGTTGACCACAGAATCATATTCGTGTATTATTATCTGCACATACAGTTCATCAATCTATTTTACTCTGTAATGTGCAATATTATACCTTCACTGTGTTTCACCCAGTTTAGACCTTATTGCATTCTCTGTTACTGTATTCCTATCTATTTCATACTCAAGCACTATTTGTCTCTCTCAGTACTTTGGACAGTATCTTATTTTCCTTTCTAGTACTACATCCTGGTTCCCTTCCCCAAAATACATTGCAGACAGCAAATTGCAGCTCCAGGACATTGGCTGTCTTGAATACTGCACAGGTCCTGTTGCTCCAGAACTGGTCCTAATGTGCCAGGAACCTAATACCCTCCTTCCTGGACCATCCCTTCAATTTTCATTCCTTCAAGCCTCTCTGGTAAGTTTGCTCATGAATTGTGAAAAACAAGACTAGGATTTACTTTGCAAGCTCAGGTACCACCCGAGTGTATATACTCAGTTATCCTACACTCAATGTTAAATGGGAATGCTGAGCAGCTATTAAGAGGCCTGTCTGTCAGTTGGTTCAGGTGAACAATTGGGTGCAGCTTTTCCTCTCATTGCTTGTTTCCCAGATGAGAAGCAGGTCATCAACAGTTTAAAAATTCCAACATCGTTTTCACCCCCTCCAATCTAAAGTGTTTTTCCAAAGAAAGAAAGTTTGTCAGTTTAATTTAATGTAAAGTAGATTTTATTCTGGAGCTAGATGTAATATGCTGCATATTGTGCAAAGGTTGTTTCAGTTAGACTTGCTCAAAGGGATTAAAAAGACATTGTCCTTTAAACTCTACCTCTTTGAATAAGTTCTTAGTCACTTGCCCCAATATTTCTTCATGCAACTGTGTGTCAGATTTTCTGAAGAAGGGTCCCAACCCGAAAGGTCAGCTTTTCTGCTTCTCTGATGCTGCCTCACCTGCTGTGTTCCTCCGGCTCCATGCTGTGTTATCTCAGACTCCAGCATCAGCAGTTCTTACTATCTCCAAAATAGTGAAGTTCTGCAGATATGAAACTCTTTGCCCTTTATAAAATCTGATTTCAGTCCATCAGTTACCGTGGACCATGGATTTATAAATAACACAGTGTGGAGCTGGAGGAACACAGCAGGCCAGGCAGCATTAGAGGAGCAGGAGAGTTGACATTTCGGGTCAGGACATTCCTGCAGCACAGATAGACTGTGTTATCTCTGACTCCAGCATCTGTAGTTCTTGCTATCTCTTAGTGAGTTATAACCCTGTAGACTTTTAAAGCCTTGCCTTCACATGACCTAACCACTATTTCATTTATGTCAGCTTCTCCTACTCCTTTAACCTTAAATCTGTACCTCAACAGATTAATCAGTTTATTTAGCACAATAAGGATTAATGAGTGACTTCAGTTGGTCCCTGATAATTGCACAGTTCAGTTTAATGTAGACTCTTAAATCTAATATATGTACCTCAGTAACCTACTGGGTTAAAAATATATGTTATAACACTAGTTGAGAGTGGCCATTTGACTATAAGAAGCCCTCTACAGATTGGTAATCACTGCTACTGTTTGATTCAACACTTATTTTCTACTTCACCCTGACAACCCTCAGATCTGTATAGTCCATGTTCAAGCCCCGCCTTCTCCAGAGTTGTCATAGCATATTTTAACAGGCTGATTAAAAGTATCCCCAGTTCCAGACTTGTGCTTCCTGATTTTAATCGCTCTGCCATTTGCAGCTGTATCCTTGGCTGCAAAGGCCCAACGCTCTGGAGCTTACTCCCCCAAATTCCTCTGCCTCTGTACTCCTCCTCTTTTACATTATCCTTTAAACTCTACCTCTTTGACTAAGTTCTTGCTCACTTGCCCCAATATTTCTTCATGCGACTAGGTGTCACATTTTGTTTGATAATACTTCTGTGAAACATGTGAAATTAAAGGTGCTATATAAAGGCAAGTTGTACTTCAGAATTCTTCTCCTAGTGGAAATGTCAGGGAAAGGGAAGATTATGGCAGTGAAGTTGTTGCTTTTCATGCGTTCGTTGACAAGATTTATATCCTGTCCACAGTTTGCAAGGATATATACAGCCTTCGATGTAGAAAAACATTTCAGAAGTGAAATTGAAAAAAATTTCACCAACTTCAAGATATTTCATCACTTTCCAAAGATACTAACAGCCAATATAATTTCATTGTAAAAGGGGTTGCAGAGCAGAACTGCTTAAAAAAAAGTATTCTGTTCTCTTGTGATGAAAAGACCTGACAGATTCATTTTATTTTACCTTAAATGAGCTGGTATTCTTCTTTATTTTGGAGGGGTTTTTTTTAGAAAAGAATGTGCTGGGATCAGTACCCATTTCCCAGGATGCTAAGTTGTAATTCTATTAACATAAAATTCTGGGTGACAATCTAGCAAGTTTCTGAATGATTTTCTCTTTCATTGCGTTCTCTGTTCCATGGAGTATTTCATTAAACCTAGCCCAACTTGTATAGGTA